AGTTATATAGTTATATAATTATATATATACATACACATATATATGTATGCATGTGTATTGTTAAGTGCCTTCGAGTCGGTTCTGACTCATAGCGACCCTGTATAGGGTTTCAGAGGAGCATCTGGTGAGTTTGAAGCACTGACTTTATGATTCAAACCAACCTTGGGGTCCAGCACTGTCCCAGGACTATATATATATATACCCGCTGGTTTTGCTCCTCCAGAGAACCCACCCTAAGACACTAGCTCGTTGCCATCAGATCTGTTCCAACTCATGGCGGCTATAAGATGGGGCAGAACATCCCAGAGGGTTTCCAAGGCTGTCATCTTTACAGAAGTAGATTGCCACATCTTTCTTCCACAGAACAGCTGGTAGATTTGAACCACCAGCTTTTCTATTAGCAACCACGTTCTTAACCGCTGAGCCATCAGGGCTCCTTTGAAGATAAGAAATTTTAAATAGCAGCAACAGTGTTCAAAGGAGAAGAACACTGGCTCAGCTGTTTACTTGTTAGCTGTATGACCTTGCACAAGCCACTTAACCTTTCTGACCCTCAGTTTCTCAACATTTCTAAAATGGGGGAACTAATGGTTCTTCTCCATAGAGTTAATGATCCCATCTGTGTCCAAGTAGAACTGTGCTCCACAGGGTTTTCAATGGCTGATTGTTTCGAAGAAGATCACCAGACCTTTATTCCAAGGCACCTCTGGTAGAATTAGAACCTCAAACCTTTCACTTAGCAGCTAACTGTGTTAACTGTTTGTACTACCCAAGGAGTCAGTTATGAGTTGGAGTTGACTCAACAGTCATTGGTTTACCCATAGAATTGTGGGTATTCAATAAGATCTCGGTAAAATACTTGTTGTTGTTGTTGAGTTGGTTCCAACTCATAGTGACCCTGCACAAGGTTTCCAAGGCTGTAAATCTTTATGCGAGCAGAAAGCCTCCTCTTTCTCCCATGGAACAGTTGGTAGTTTTGAACTGCCGACCTTGAGGTTAACAGCCTGATTCGTAACCACTACGCTACAAGAGCTCCTTAGCAAAGTACTTAGGACAATGTTTATTACCGTTAGCTAGGAGAAGTCCGGGTGTGGTGTTATAGGATAACCATTGGACTGCTGACCACAAAGGTGGTGGCTCAAACCCACCAATCACTCCTCAGAAACCCTATACAGGGTCACTATGAGTCAAAACCAACTCGATGACACTTACAACAACAATATTAGCTATGAACAGCTCAGTGGCCTAGCTGGTTATTGACCAAGGATACTTAATCCATCAGGATGCTTTCAACTATAAACAGAAGATCCAACTGAAAGTGGCTTATATACTAATGACATCTATTACGAGTCCTGGTATGGCACTATAGGATAAGCATTAGACTGCAAGCTCAGTTCAAATTCACCAGCCGCTCCTCAGAAACCCTATACAGGGTCACTATGAGTCAGAACCACACTTAACAAAAGCAACAATTATGACCTACAACAGGAATCTGTAGCAACTGATGGGAATCTCAATAGAAGGTCTTGGATAGAGTGGGAAGAAAATATGGAACAAAACTCAAAATCATAAAAAGACCAGGCTTACTGGTTTGATAGAGACTCGTGGAACCAATGAGACTATGGCCCTCAGCACCATCAGGGAGGAGCGATCAGCCATAGGAGACCAACAGGGCAGATGAGGAAGGGACTGGAAACAAGTGGGAAGAGCGCAGTTACGCTGTGGGGACTGCAATCAATGCCATGAAACAAAAGATGTGTTTAGTGTTGAATGGAAACGAATTGGCTCTTTAAAACTTTGACCCAAACCACAATACGTTGTTTAAAGAATCTGTTACAAGAACATCCCCCATCCTCACATTTTATTGGCCAGTATTAACACATATACCCATTACGTAACTATATGAATCAAGCCTAGAAGCAAGACAAACCTCTTTCTTCATATTCTTCATTTCTGTCATTTTATTTCTAACACTAGTTCATGGTGGTGGTGGTTATGTGCCATGGAGTAGATTCCGACTCATAGGGACCGTGTACAGGGTTTCTGAGACTGTAAATCTTTATGGGAGCAGAAAGCCTCATCTTTCTCCTGTGGAACAGCTGGTAGTTTCAAACTGCTGACCTTGAGGTTCGCAGCCTGACTCATAACCAACCACTATGCTACCAGAGCTCCTTAGCACTGGTTCATAGGTGTGTCAAATAGCTATTGCTGAGTAGCAAACGGTTACTACAAGCCATGAGAGCTTGGCTGGTCACTGCAGATCTGAGTATCTTTGGGTTAGCTAATAAACAAAGGGGCTTCAAAAAGTTCATGGAAAAATGGAAATTTTCCAAGAACTTTGTGAAAGCCCCTCATAAGCTAGGCTTGACAGACTGCTTCCAGCTATATAGAGGTCTGCAAGTTGACCATATATATCTACTGGACCTGGCCCTCATCTTCCCTGGATCATCACTCTAGCTGCTTACTGGCACATGGTCTTTTCATGTCTCTAGCAGAGGCTGAGGTGTCTAAAATCTAGGATTGAAACTGGCGCACTCCAACTTCTGCCCACATATCATGAATAAGTCACACAGCCAAGTCCAAAGACAAGAGGCAAGACCATACACCATGAAGCTACAAGGGAGTGTTTGCAGGCAGAAGGTGAAGAAGAAACAATCGCTCATTCCCTAGGGTTGTCAGAACAAACAACAGGTGCCTGAATGAACTCTCTGAGTTCTAAAACATTGGAGTTTTGGCCATCAGTTCCTGTATTGCTCAATTGCATTGCAATTTCATCTTGTACTATAAATAAGGAGTCCTGGTGGGGCCCTGTGGATTAATGTGCTAGGTTGCAAGGCCGGTTTGAACCACAAGGTCGGCGGTTCAAGCTCACCAGTCACTCCCTGGAAACCCTATACAGGGTGGCTATGGGTTGGAACCGACTCGACGGCACTTAACAACAGTGCAAATAAGGAGTGCTGGACACGCTGTAGGATAAACACTGGACTGCTAACCATAAGGTAAGAAACCCTGTTGCCAATCAGCCGAGATATCATTTGTCAGATGAAGGGGATGTCCAAGGACTATAAACACCATCAACAGAAGAAAGGTATCATTAACCTGTTTCGCTGGTTCCCACTTTGTCTTCTCAACTAAAATTCTTAGATGCTCGAGAGTAGGTATCACCGAAATCAGTTCGTACTGGGCGTGTACTGTACTTGGTGAGGCCCGCAGGAGAACTGAACAGACTCTGAGGAACGTTTCTGGGGAACTGAGCGCAGAGGATGAGCGGGTCCTGCTGGAGGCGGGTCCCAGCCAGAGGTGCATGGCCCGCCCTCCGTGGCTCGCTCGCGCTGTCCGCTTCTCTGTGCCCCTCTGCAGTGTCGCGCCCCAGGCTGCGGGAGGAGCTGAGCCCCAAGCAAACGCGGCGTAACAGGAGGTGGTCCAGCTGCGCCCGGGGCCCTAGGCCGGCGTCCTCCGGAGGGGAGCAAGAGAAGCAGGAGACTGTGACAGACCGAGGTCCCTGCCAAGATGCGGCCGCCCTGGGGGCTCACGCTCCTACTGCTGCTCTCCTGGGTGGCAGGTGGATTAGGGAGCACGGGCAGGTGAGTGACTGCCTAGCGATCGGCCCCTTCTCTTTGTCCGGGGTCCCTCCAGGCACCCTCGCGCGTGTGTGGCGGTGTGTGCGTGTGTGGATGTGTCTGTGCCTGCTGAGACAGGTTTCCCCGCAAGGATGAGAGGCCAGGAACGCGCTCCGGCTTTCCTCCTGCGCCCCTCTGGCGGGTCTTTGCTCTCAGAACTCTTTTCAGTCGCTGCGCCCCACCTAGCCGCATCCCGCGGGTTACGGGAGAGAGGCCAGGCGTCGTGTGCGCAGACCTGAGAGTGGGTGCGGGCTTGGTGGTCGTCAGGGGTGTGTGTGGTGGAGGTGGGTTTGGGGAGAGGGGTGAGTCTGTGCAGTTGTGCGTTCTTCTCCACTCTACCCGGAGGTCTCCAACTGGCTGCCAGCCGCCCTTGTGCTGCAGAAGGAGGGAAAGAAACTTAGGACACGACAGAAGAAGCTTCTGCCATGCTCGGGCTGCGCCTGCTTCCCCGCCACGGCTCCTCTCCCCGCCGCCTTTCAGAACTGGGAAGAGAAAGCAGCGCTGTCAGAGGAAATCTACACTTTCTTCTTGTGGCGATTCAGACTCCGAAGTCTTTTCTTTGCTACCCATAAACTTAGCCCATTGCTCCTCTGAAGGGGAGTGCGGTAGCTTTCTAGAATCAACACTGGACTTCGAGCCACAAGACTGGCGCTTGGAGCCCACCAGCCACACCCTTTCTTCTCCCTCAAAGATTTACAGCCTCAGAAACCCTAAACAGAGTCACTAAGAATCGGAACCCACTCGATAGCATGCAACAACCCTGAAACTGGCTTTCCCAGAAACTTCTTTTTCAAAACTCCTTACTTAATAAATGCCCACTTACGTTGTGCTCACTGGAGGCCTTCAGGGCGGGTACATTTGACAAGAGTCTTGGATTCTGTAGGAAGGTGCTCCGGGGTTGGGCGAGAGGCAGATGCTGGCCAGACCCAGAAGCAGAATCTTTGATGTGGTGGTAAAGTGTGAAATTGTTCACTAGAGAATAGTATGTAACTAAGCACAAGTCAGTCTTGCTTGCTTAGTTTACTGGGTCCTTCGACAGGGGATACTTATTTGTTGGGGTGTGGGCTGTCCTGCACAGTGAAGGCTATTTAGCAGCATCCCTGGTCTCTACCAAGTAGGTGCCAATACTACCCATTCCCCAAGTTGTGACAACCCAAAATATCTCTGGCCATTGTCCAGTGTCTCCTGGGAGGACAGAATCCCCCTCAGTTGTGAACTACTGTGTTAGAGAGACTTTTAGTTGATGGGAGCTTCCTGCTAAACTTGCAGGAAAACATCCTTCATCAGAGTTAACCAAGGGATTAAGGGACTCAGAAGTTCAAACACTTAGAATGTATGGTCACAAGTTTCAATTTCCTTTTCATGATAAAAACATGAGCGGATGCTTTTTGCTCCTAGTCATGGTTTCCTTTTACTTTGGGTGTTCCTGTATTGCTAGAAAGACCACTGACAGTTGACCAAATTACTATTTGGAGATGGGATTAATAGTTCTTTAGCAGTCAGCAAACAGATCTCCACTTTCAAAGTGCCACCAAATTAAATGGAAAGCCGAAAGGCCCCTGAGTCAACCAAACAATATTAAACTTGAGAATCTGTGTTAGGCTTCTGCAGTTCTGCAGTTTTCAAGATGTGAAATGGGGTTTCTTTGTGGGATATCAGGTTCATGAGTCAGTGTGTTTGTTATCTGCTCCAACAAGCTGCTATCTATCAAGTGATTCCCTCTCAAAAACTGTTCGAGAACTATGTGTCATCAACTCCAGACTCCAAGGCATGATCAACAACATTTGCAAAGAAGGTAGCCAACCCTGCAGGGTATTATAGTGGTTGCGAGTTGGGCTGCTAATCTTATGCTCAGCAGTTTGAAACTACCAGAGGTTCTGTGGGAGAGAGATGAGTTTTTCTGTTCCTGTGAAGACATACAGTCTCAGATACCCTATACAGGGTCACTATGAGTCAGAACCGACCCCATGGCACATAAACACCACCACCACCACCATCACCATCCAATCTGTATGCTGAGCAAATAATCTGAGAAGCTACATTATATGAAGAAGAATGTGGCACAGGATTGGAGGAAGACTTATTAACAACCTGTGATATACGACCTTGGTTGCTGAAAGTGAAGAGGACTTAAAATACTTACGGATGAAGATAAATGACCACAGTCTTCGGTATGGGTTGCACACAATATAAAGAAACAAAACTCCTCACAACTGGATAAATAAATAACATCATGATAAATGGAGAAAAGATTGAAATGGTCAAAGACTTCATTTTGCTTGGATCCACAATCAACTGTTATGGAAGCAGCAGTCAAGAAATCAAATGGTGTATTGCATCAGGCAAATCTACTGCACAAGACCTCTTAACGTGTTCAAGAGCAGAAATATCAGTTTGAGGATTAAGGTGCCCCTGACTCAAGCCATGGTATTTTCAACAGCCTCATATACATGAGAAAGTTGGACAATGAATAAGAAAGACCACAGAAGAATGCATACATTTGAATCATGGTGTTGGAGAAAAATATTGAAAGTATCATGGACTTCCAGAAAAACAAACAAATCTATGTTAGAAGAAATGCAGCCAGAATGTTCCTTAGAAGCTAGAATGATGAGACTTTGTCTCTCATACTTAGGACATGTTATCCTGAGGGACCAGACCCTGGAGAAGGACCTCATGCTTGGTAAAGTGGAGGAAGACCCCAATGAGGTGGATTGGCATCGTGGCAGCAGCAATGGGTTCAAGCGTACCAACAGTTATGAGGATGATGTTGTGCACAGGGTCACTATGAGTTGGAAGCCCCATGTGGCTATTGAGCATTGCATTGAAGCCTGTTCAAAATGAGATGGGCTGTAAGTGAAAAGACACAGCAGATTTGGGAGGTTTCATATGAAAAATAGAATGTAAAACATCACATTCATTTTTATATTGAATATATGTTGAAATGTTAATGTTGTGCTGTGGGATAAAGCACTGGACTGCAAGGTCAGTTTGAACCACAAGGTCGGCGTTTCAAAGTCACCAGCTGCTCCTTGGAAACCCTACACAGGGTTGCTGGGAGTTGGAACCGACTCAATGGCACTTCACAGCAGCAAAAACAACAAAAATTAACCTCACCTGTTTCTTTTGGTTTGTAAAAGAATGTGGTTAGAAACAATTGGAAAATGTCAGTCACAGGTGGCTCTTAAATTTTTATTGGATAACACTGATCTAGAGCATTTATTAATCTGACCTCCATCTTTTGTGTTTTGGGTTGTAACATGTAGGTTTCTTAAAGACCTTTTTCCTTGAGTACATAAGAATACTGTGTTGTTGACTTTGATATTCTTGAGAATCAAGATTGGCGTAACTCCCTACTTATAACAGATTTCTGTTATGCATCTTTTTTTCTCTATCGAATTCAAGTCAAAGCACGTGACAGGTGAGGGACTGATCAAGTTCATGTTGAAGTGCCTGCTAACTGCAAAACACAGGCTATTGAAGAATGGAGTCTTCTCAGAGTCCCATTTTAAGGCAATGTGTTAGTTTCCTGGTGCTGCTGTACCAAATGACCACAAACTTAAAACAACACAAAGTTATTCTCTTATGCTTCTGGAGATGAGAAATGTAAGTCTTCTTGTGTCCTCAAGCCGATTCTGACTCACAGCAATCCTATAGGACAGAGTAGAACTGTGCCTTAGGGTTTCATAGGCTGTCATCTTTGTGGGAGGAGTCCTGGGTGGCACTGTAGGATAAGCACTGGACTGCTAACTGCAAGGTTGGCAGTTTAAACCTACCAGCCACTTCTCGGAAACCCTATACAGGGTCACTATGTGTTGAAACCAACTTGATGGCACTTAACAACAACAACAACATGGGTAAAATATTGAACAATGCAAGAAGCATCATCTCCCATCTCAGTAGCCTTCACTTGACCATATCTGCAAAGGTCCTTGCACCACATCACGTAACAAACATGCACAGGCTCCAGGCATTAGGACGCGGCCAACTTGAGGGGTCATCATTCAGTCTACCACAGGCAGCCTCAGCTTTTGTAGTCTCCTGTCCTTGACTTTATGGGTTGGGTCTTAGTTTTTATCATGATTTCAGTAATTTTTTTAATGGTTGTCATATCATTCATTTGATTTTTTTTTAATATGTAAGAATTAGTGGGACTATACCCGAAACTCAAGAGTTGACTATTTCTAGGACATAGTTATCACGAAACAACATAAAAAGCATCTCAAAGATGCCTCTATTGCACTGGTTCCAATGACTTAGAAGGCTTAAAGTCCTGTTTATGTAATTTACATGCTCACATCCTGTTGACATCTTAAGAGGAACTCAGAAGAGACAGAAACCAAGAACAACAGTGTCCATGAGCTTGATTTTCAGTTGAATGAAGGCTGTGAAGACTGTGCTTCACAAACTGTTTGACTTTGGGAATTTTAAGGCAAGAATGTCCAAATAGGAGTAAGTGACTTTTAGGAGTTAGTGAGCATAGCAACATTGCTGTTTGATCCTTTGATGTTAGCTACAAGTAACTGAAAACCCAAATAACCTTGGCTTCAAGACTATAAACACAAGGTAGGGCCCCAAGCTCCTCCATCTTGTGGCTCTACCTGAAGGCCTTCTCCAGCAAACATGGCCATCACATTTCAGACAACTGTTGCTGTTCCTGAGTGCCTTCAAGTCGATTCAAACTCATAACGACCCTGCACAGGGTTTCTGAGGAGTGGCTGGTGGGTTTGAACCACTACCTGGTGGTCAGCAGGCTAGTACGTATCCTACAGTGCCACACCAGGACTCTTTTCCAATAAGAGGAAATAGATCAGGGCTTCAAATAGGTTCATTCTGGTAAAAAAAAAAACAAAAAACCTTGCTAAGAATTGGCTTTTCTACCTGTGGCACTGTGGGTTAATGTGCCAGACTGCAAAGCCGTTTGAACTGTAAGATCGGTGGTTCAAGCTCACCAGCTGCTCCTCGGAAACCCTATATAGGGTCGCTATGAGTCGGAACCGACACGAGGACACTTAACAACAACAACAACAACCCCAGATACACAGAATCCGGATCTAGTTTAACAAGATCCCCAGGTGTGGTGTAACAGCAAATTCTCAGCAGGGGGTCCAGCTAGAATGAACTGATTTAAAGCCACTGCCTGCAAGTTGCACATGACACTCCTGCTTACATGCCATTGGCCACACCTCACTGAAATGTAGGCTGGGAACTGTGGTTGGATCATAGGAGTCTAATGATTAAGGAAGAAGGGGAGAAGAGATATTGGGAAGTCACTCGCCAGATGAGTAAACTAAATTTCAAAATATTTTAGGGCAATGCTGTTATGGTTAAGTGTCAGTGAGTCAATTCCAACACATAGCAACCCTGTATAGGGTTTCTGAGGAGTGGCTGGTGGGTTTGAACTGCCACCCTTGTGGCTCAAACTGACCTCACGGTCAAGTGCATTATCCTGCAGTGCCACACAGACCCCAAATTCAAATATATTTTACACAGACCCCTTAAG